GCTTTAGAACTGTGGCTCTCTTCCACAGATAAATTCAGTTTGTTGAGCTACTTTATTTGTTATTCCTCTTGAATTTCACTTTTCTTGTTTTACCTTCTCTTCACAGCTTGGTGTAGACAGTAAGTAAATCATTGGTGAAACTCAGTGTCAAAGGGTATCAAACTGCCCTGAACATATGTCATATCGATTTGTACATGGCTATGGCTGTATTTCTACATATTGATCATTGATGCCAGTACAATGAGTCTACCAACTTAGAACTGAAAGAGACGGACATTGGCAGATCCCTTCACATTAGGTATTACAGCACGCTTATACACTCACAAGATGAATATGACCTAGATATTAAAAAGGAGAAGGCAAAGAACTAAAGTTGTTGAACCTTCACTTCATCTTCTGGCTTTCTTTTCGCTGATGATAATTCATTTGCTTTTGGATGGGTCTTTTATATGTTTCAGGAATAACAGGCATTGAGCTCTCACCTTGGAATCTTGGTTAACTACCCACTCTAAATCTTGGGTGACATTGCTGCAAATGGTCTTCTCCTTCCTCGTTTTGTGGAGCTTGCTAGTAAAGCTTGACTTCTTGGGATTACAGTAAAAGAAATGGCACATACACTGTGTTGTAGTCTGGTTGCCATTCTCCAGTTACTGGATTGCAGGTTTTCTGCTGTTGAGTCATTCATGCTGTGATTTTGGTGAAAGCAACACATTCCTCAGTGTTTACCTGTTTCGCTGCTGTTGTCCCTAGCTATCAGCACAAGCCATTCTTTTAATCCTTGCTGTCATGTTCCTCTAGTGCTTTTACACACATCTTTTTAACTAATCTTAATATTTCTGTATAAAGGACTTTGCATAGCAACATAACATAAACCATGTGCTGGCCCTGGTTTGGATGGATGGTAGGCTGCACTTCAGTTTATGCTGGGCTAATTGCACTGCAACATGTTCCAGCTTTACTGGGAGGGATGGATGCAGGTAATTACATCATGTCTCCAACCGCTGGACTACATTATCTGTTTAATATAACAAACCAACTGCAGTTTTCCATCAGGCTTGTTCCGGGTCCAGTTACACCAGCTTAAAATGCCACTGTATTACTGTGCCATTACATGACTGGACGTTAAGGGAAATGTTCACCTCAGGCAGGAGAGGAATGTGGGGCCATGTCATGCCTCCTCCACCCCCTGATTCTTACAAAGGAAACAGTGGGAGAGCGATGGGTGCTGCAGCATGCCCCTAGTGCTGTCATCTGTGTAGTCTGTAGGGAAATACCCTTCCCAGGCACAGGCACCTTCACTGAGAATGGCTATAGGCAGCCTGTCTTTCTGGCTGAATGAGTGCCACCTTCCCCATCATCCTAAGAGAAGGGTCGATGCTCTCTGCTTACAGCCCCACTTGGGCCAACTCTGTATCTCTGCAGTACTGCTGCACATAGTCAGATGGAAAACAGTCCCCTGAGGTGTACACAGTGCTGGATGCTCAAGAGGAGACATGAACGAGCAGAGCCTAGGACTGCTTGTGAAAGCATCAGAAAGCAGCCCTATAGCAGCAGAGAAGTACATTATCTAGCTAAAAGTCAGAGCTTCCAAAATGCTCAACAAATTTAGAATGTTACTGGAATAAGAACAGCATCGTCAACCAGTGTAAAATTATACCGGCTTCTAATCCTTCTCCCACACCGCATGCAATGAGTTCCACATTGAGTCAGAAAAAGAGAAGGTCAGTGCTCCAGAGATAGACTCTGCTGTTGATCATAGGATCATGCTGTTGATCAGAGATACCTCTGTCACACCTGGGTCCACTTCAAATTCAGTGCTCAGCTTGTGTTTTTGGGGGAGTGTCAAGGGCCTTAAGCAAGATTTCTGCTCAGGGGAGTGTTATCCTGGGAGGATTTCACCTGTACACCTAACTGAACACTAAGTAAACCATTTTAATGTGCTTTAGCCAGTTATTTTTGATGCTGCCCTCCAAACACTGCTGGACTTTTGCTTTGCGCAGTGACAACCAAGGAACAAGTTTACTACTGTTTCCCATTCCACTCTTAGCTTGTTTTTAGTCCTCATAGACAGTCAGTGTGACTGTCACATCAAGTCACATTTGTGTACTTAAAACTTCACATCTTGGGACAGGGAAGCCTCTCTCACACTGGTTTTCCTGTTCTTTTTCAGTCTTGATGTTGAATATTCTGATCCTGAATCAATAAAACACTTCAGCATAAGCTAAGATGAAGGAATGACTACCTGTCTAACCAAGCTTTCTCATTTTACATATGTGCCACATAAGAGCTAAATAAATATGCCTATAAATATGGTCAATAAATGCTCACCCTAAGGTAAATAAGTTTCATACTAGAGGCAATTGGATGGACTAAGGCCTTAGTCAGATCAGGGACAGTGTGCTCAACACCTGAACAGATCACATTGCTGAAGAGCCTAGCTGACAATTTCAAAGCTTTTCCCCATGGATTCCTGCTAAAATGCATGGAAACTGGGATTCCAGTTCTTCACACTAATGTTGAAGGTTGTGCTCTACACCTGTGTTTTGCTTTCTTCAGTGACTGTTTCTTGTGATAATTTTTGACAAAATTCATTTTCTTGTTTTATTCAAAATAAGAAACATGTATTTTGATACTGAGAATTAGCTTGATTTTGTTGAATCTCATTCTATTCTTATCTGAGATACAGGCTCACTAACCAAGAATTAAACGGAATATAGAAGAAAGAGAAACCTAACGTAAAAAACCACCAGAAGGAAATACTGGCTCACACATCACACATTACCTGTAGAAATCATTGCCATAGGATGAAGTCAAACCCAAGAGCACAGCAAACATCAAAACACAGACTGAAGATTATTTCTGAAAGACTCTGAAAGGACATAACAAAGGCTATAAAACTCCCTATTTCAGGGTTAAAACCAGAGGTAAACAGAAGACAACAAGGGGAGGGACAGATTCTCTCTCATCCATAGTCACTCCAACCCTTTTTGGCAGGATCCATGGATAGACACAGTAAAAGCCAGAATACGGTCATACAGACTAGGCACAGAACTGGAAAGTCATAATTTACATCTAGTTTTGAAGGGGCTTCAGCTTCCCCACTACTTTCATTATTAATGTCTCAATCTCATATTAGAAATGTAACGTAGTGCAAATGAAAAACTGACACAACATACCCCAAAATGACATTTAAAAATGGGAAACACATTATACAGTTATTTGCAAGTATTATTTTCTACATTGACTGTGAAAAACTATCCTGAAGAGCTTTTTATTAGGCTTCCACAATCAAAATAACAACCCTAGCTGCGCATAAGACACCCTTTCTGTGAAGAGAGGCACTTTATACATCCCAAGCACTCAATTCTTGAAGTTTCTCGAGAAGATGGAAGTTTTATTTGCATTGTAATATTGCCTAGATTTCACAAGTTAGCAGAGTGTCTTCATTTCCTCTGTTGTGCAAACATGCGGGACAGTACTTGGAAATGCCTGTCTCCAGAAGATCGCCGAGGAAGTCTCATAGACAGAGAAAAACACAGAGGGAACAATTGCAAAGATTTATTTAGCGCATTCTGTGCTTGGCACTTAGAAACAGAGTTCCGTGCATAGGGCAAATCTTTATACACCTTTTTCTTCATACATATTTTACATACCATTTTTATTGCCCTCTTTTATATTCATAATATTGAATCCCCCACTAGGCATATAAATACATTTATCTACAACACCTCACAACAAATCTCAATAATATCTGTTTTCTGTTACTTGGTATTTGCATTTCCACACAACTTAAATGCATAACTTGCACCAAGCTACAATTGTTTTTTTATTTTTAAAGGACTTGAAGAAAAAAACATAAAACAGAAAAGAAAGATGTCAAAAGGCAATGATCTATTTGGTTAAACAGAGATCATGTGGCAGGTGGGAGGCTGGCAAATAGTCAACCTCACTGTTACTGAAATACTAATGGTTTTCTATGGCAAATCTTGCATGCAAGGCCAGCTGCACTTCCAAAGAGCAGAGCTCTCTTTCTTATTGCTCTTCCCTATGAGCTCAGTCTGTAGTTTCCTCCCATTGGGTTGAGTGCTATGGGTCACGCATTCCCCACAAAGGCTGTCATCCATTTGGTTTTGGTGCATCACTTTGGGTCACATCAACAGGAGCTGAGCTCCTCTCTCCCCCATGCATCTTTCCAAAGAGCAGTCCACTGCTTATGTCTGAGCCTCACTTGAGAGTTAAACCTTTTCTTTCTCTTCTCTCTCTCCCATGTCCATCTGCAGGCTGGGTGCTGGTATGCCTGACCATCACAAAGAAACTGTCAGTCCATGGTGAAAATGCAGAAACCTCTTTGGGAGATGAAGATCCAGCCCAGCAGCACCATTCCTGTGCTACAGTGGCAGAAGGACCCAAGGGCCACTGTTCGCTTCAGGAATGGGCTGAGTTATTCCAGCAGCGAGGAACGGTCACAGAAAGGGGAGATCTTTAAAGCCATGGGCAGTGCAGCTTCAGAAGACGAAGCCTTGTAAAGACTGCCTTTCTTCAACACCTGGAGGAGACAGCACAGGGGCATGGCTCCCTTGACACTGAGAGCTCACACTAGCTGAGAGTTAATGCATAAACTGTATATTCAGATGCTTCTCTCCAGCTTCTCATTAAAGTCATGCCCTTCTCTCTGCAATGTCCAGTAAGAGCAGGCACTTCATGCCAGGTCTGGAGGCCCTGGACTACAACAAGCTGTGTTGGCTGTCAGTCGAGGCTTTCCACAGGGTTCTGTGGCACACACCTAGATGACTTATGTTCTTATTTATCATTACAACACTAGTTCTACTACAAGTTTGAAGGCAAAAAGGTACTGGGATGGGTTTATCCCTGGAAACAATGAAGGTCCAGCTGCCTTCAATGCCAAGGATAGGCATGGCTTGTTAGACCATGTGCACAGACATCTGTGAGGAGGAGCCCTGAACCGCACCGTACTGTCTGTTGTCACAGGCGTTGGCTGCCTGCTGGTTGCTAGAGGGAGGGCTGATCATGTGCATCCCGTGATCCATCCCTGTGGAAAGGTATTGCCTCTCTCCAAAGGCCCCGCTGGATGGGGAAGAGCAAAGTAAAGTGCTTTGGGAGGTGGTGAGTTTCTCTGGGCTCGCCGCCAGCCTGGGGGAAGCAGGGAAATTGTATCCATAGAGGTTGTAAGGGTTGTGCAGGGAGAAGGCGTTGTAGGAGCTCTGCTGCATGTGGCCACCACCAAACATGTGTGAAGAAGAGGAGGTGGAGGCAGGGTTGCCTGCTTGCATGACATACTGGAACTGGGAGCTAGGGAAGGATCCCAGCTGGCCGCTGTACGCCTCCATCTTGCTGTTGCTGGGCAGGGAGGAAGGAGCCGGCATTCCTGAGATCAAGGATGGAGTCCTCTGAGGCATGAAGGTTTCGGAGGGCTGCGAGGCAGAAGCGGTGCCACTCTGGAGCCGGTTGTAGCCGCTGTCACTCAGCCCTGGGTAGCTCTGCAAGGCAGCCATGTTGCTTCTGGCACACGGGGGATAATCAGACAGGTTGAGGTTGCAAAGCTGACTCTCCCGGCAGCCCACGTTGAAGGTGTTGGGGGCCAGATGAAAGGCTGGAGGGGAGCAGGATGGAGAGAGAAGGTGAGAGGAAGCAGATGGTGATGGAGTGCCCGTGCTGGAGGTTGTCGGGGAGGTGCCTGTGCTGCCTCCTGCAAAACAAAACACATGGGAGGGTGTTCAGACCCCGGGATCACATCTGCACAGTGAGATTGTCTCATTAAAAACCAGCCTAGTTTAATAAAGAAACAGGGGTGGTAAAATGGCTGCTGGAAAACTCTGCCTTTCTTGGCAAGGGCACTCACTTTATTAATAGCATCCCTTGGTCTTTCCTGCTGCTTTTTTGTTATGACTTTGTTTTTCAGCAGAGGTTTTCTTCCCTTTTGAAATAGGAGAGGGAAGCAAGCCTGCCACAGAGTAATCCAAGGCAGTGGGAAAAGCCGTAAGGAAGCACTGCGCTCAGTCAAGCAATCTGCCATCTTTAGGCATGTTTATCCTTCCTTTTTTGGGGGTGGGAGTCCTTTCCCCCATCTCCTGGTCTCCGGGAAGACCACCAGTCAGTGAGGTGTATGGCCCCACTGCAAACATGCTTCATCACCCACACAGGGGGCTTTCAGGCTGAAAGTCTGTTGGAGTTCTGAATTGTTCAACAGTCTTTTCGGGTGGCTCATGGTGCAGCAGTATTGATTTAAGCCAGAAGTAACACCAAAATGAGGGGGGAGGACACAGGTTCAATCTATAGCCTGTTCCATGGAGCAGAGAAAGGGGATCTGTCAGGGTTTTCAGTCATGTGCTTTAACTTTAAAAAGGATTCCATCTGCTGCATTAGTGGTGTTAACAAAACATTGACATACATGCATGTAGGTGGTATCAATGTATTATACAATATTTAGGCAATGAATGATAGAAGTTATGATTTTGCACAGCAGAGATGTTCATATATTCTGACCCGGGAAAACAATACTGCATAAAACTACCAAGAACAGTAACAAACTGAAAGGAAAGGAAGTGATGTGAAGAAGCTGATGGCACAATTTTGAGCTTAAGAAGAGATTATTTATAGATAAGATTTGGAATTAGAAGAAGCTTCCTGAGTCGACCAGGAAAATCAGTTCTGTGCTTAAGTGAATGCAGTTTTCTGGTGTGAAATATTTTTGTTTTCATGGGAATGATTCTCTGCATGAGAAGCCATTTCTGCATTAGGGGAGCTAACACTGAAGACTCTTGTAAAAGGAGCCAAGAGGTGCTGGTGAAGAGATCTGATGAGGGGTTAAGGAAAACCAGAGGAACTAGACAGACAACTCATGAGACAGCATTTTCAAAAAGCTGGAAAATGATAGTTGAGAGGCAAAGGGACTAGAAAAGAGGGTGTTAGACTGGGCAGCTAAAATGTAACCTAGGCAGAGACTGCACATAAAGAGACAGTTTTCCCTTGTGTCCCTTTGTGGGGAAAAAAAAATAAAAAAAAACAGGGTTTTGATACCAGTCTAGGTCTATTGCAATATGGGAGGAACTGAGTGCTGTGCTGCTTGATGAAAAGAGAATAGGTGATGCTAATGGTTAAGAAATGCACTAGAAAGACAGGCTCTGTGTCGATATACAATGGTAAGAATGTAAGTAAGATTATATTTCTTTCTAACACATGAAGATCAAATAGAATGGGATGTTAGAGTGAAAATGTAACCTTGAGACATTAATAAACTTTGGGATTTTTTAATTAAATTGAAACAAGAGTCAATAAAAATGAAACCAAGCCTTGGGTGAGCACAGCCTGGAGTGGCTGCCATTGACCCAGGATGGCAACCCATCAAGAAAACACAGATTTCTGTGTTGCTAAGTCAAAGCAGTCTTTTCCAATATCAGCCATGAGTAGGAATGTTTGTTGCCAAGCCACTGACTCCTTTTGCATTCATTCAGAAGCATAAATGAGGAGTATTGCATCAAATCTCCATTAAAACCTATGAGAAAATCTGAAGTTTCAAACGACATCATGGACCCTCTGTATTCCCTTCTCAACGTCACTGAAATGCTCAAAGTTGCTAGTGACATTTAGCTCCAGAGTTCAAAGACTTTTTGTGTGAAATTCTAGTTCAGCTTTCATTTTAAAAGGCAGATTTCCTTAGCTCATTTAAAGTCTCTGACAAACAACCTCTGGCTAACTTTTTTTTGTGGTAAATTGGTACCTCCTCAAGCCTTTCTCTCCATCTTTCTAGTACAGGCTGTACTGCAGCAGGGTGAGCAGAAGGGAACGTCTGCCTCTAGTTTCATTGCAAAGTCTTTTTTAGTTGAAATTGCTGATAAAGGTGAGACTGAACTGAGGTAAATGACTATAGGCACACATTTTCCTGTTAGCCCTGCACTGAAGAGGGTAACTCCAACAGAGAGGGCAGGCAGACAGCTGAGTTCGTATATCGCCACTTAGCTGTCAAAGCCCAAAGTAGAGAGGTCACATAATCACAAAAGAAATAAAGCACAAAGTGAGATGTATTAAACCCACAGTAATCCTGCACTTGATTCTTTACACCACATATTTCATGAACAAACTTCAGATGGTGACTTACTTGCTGACAGAGCCTGGAGAATAAGTAAAAATACATATGTATATATATGAGCATTTAATGATCTGTTTGAAATAAAATACATAGAATAAATGATTAACTGCAATGTCTTCATTTCGGTCTTCCTTTACCCTGTAGTTAACCTTCCAAAACTATGCAGAAGGAAAGCATAGACACCAGTTACCTCAAGCATTAGGCTTTAAAAATCTGCTAAGGAGTTATGATCAAGTCATACCCATAACTGTGGCTTTGGATCCAGAGAGTAAAAGAGACCACTGCTTGGCAATTGTGTGAGTTGCTTACTGGTTCCAAAACTGAGAACTGCACATTTCAGGTTACTCCCAAAGAGGGACTGAAGTGATTCTGCTCTGGAGTATCCCTATTTGCAGACCAGCAGAAAAACCCTGGAGCAACAACACAGCAAGTAGGAAACAAAAGAATTGAGATGTTTTTTTCTTTTTCTCCATAACTTTAAAATGATGAGGAGGTGAGAGATCTACCAACAGAAGCAAATGCCAGACCTGACAACTCTCATTCAAGAATGCTTTGCTGCCAATGCCAACCACAAGGACAAGATGCACCACGCTTCTGCTGCAACAGAGCAGAGCACAGAAGTTCCTGATCATTTACAGAATAAACTTTACACCTTTAAGAGGAACAGGAAACAGTACAAAGCAAGGCCCATCTCAGTTCACTCTCTTCAGAAAGCAAATGGCTCCATTCTGTTCTGAATGATTATTTCTTATCCATCTTTGCTGGCAGCAGTAAGTATGGACCAAACACAACCTGGACTTTTGCTGTAAGTTATAACTTGGACTGTAGTTGTTACAAAGTCAGCCAAATACCCCTAGAGATGGCAGCAAGCCCAGCAAGTATATCCACTCCATACTACAGTCTGTGACACACAGATGTGTATGTCGTTTTAATGGGAGGCAGGGATACAAACCCATCTAGTACATAAGGCTATGTTTAGGTCTGGTTTAAGTCAGCTGAAACCACATTTAAGCAAGAGAAAATCAATCCCTCAATAACTCTCCTCCATTCCTTTTCTCTACCCATTGTTCCCTCTGGAAATAGTTGCGAACACCAACAGCATTTACCAGCAGTGTCACAGTACCTCTCACCTCCACGCTTACCATGATTCCAAAGTGATTAATTACTATTGCATCCAGTCTCTAGATCATTTCTGGCCCTGCATACATTAGTCCTACACATGTGCAGTTAGCAAGTCACATTTATATAAAAGGTTCATAACCTCAAAGTCTCCTTTTTTGCATCTGAACCCTGACCTGCATGGCAGATGAAATTGTCTGTCCTCACAGTGTCCTGCCAGTATGTCCAGGGCTTAGCCAAGCCCAGGTGCCACCCTGAAAGCAGTCTGCTCTTTGTCTGGGCATAGAAGTGATAACAAGTGATAAGATTACCTTATCAAATGGACAGGAGCATTTCTAAAGAGGGGAAGTAGAGAATAATCTAGTGCAAGAAAGGTTAAAACTTGCAAACTGGACTGAAAAGTAAGAAATTGTTGGTCAGGAGGGAAAGTGGGAAAATAAGAATGAAATCATGGTGAAAGACAGGGTGATTCTGTGGAGAAGGTGGGATGTGAAGGCAAACCTTCTTCCTCGTGCCAGCAATCCCTCTTGTAACCTGATGTGTAGAAGTGCTGGTTGCGGGCCAGTGTCAAATACATGCCCACGAAGATTAGGGAAGAAACTACAGCTTCTCATCTGCATATAAATAGGAACTGCCATTAAAATATCACCTCAAGCAGCTTATGACTGGTCTTTCTTTTCTGTCATCTATGTCCTTCTTGGTAATGGTGCTGTCTTTCCATATGTTTCAAACAGGTCCTTGCTTTTGTTTTTTACCTAGACTGAGCTTGTGTTAATGACAATTTCAGAGTCAACTGCAAATGCAAACATACCCATTCTATGGGTATGATGTGCCATAAAAGAAGGGTCTATTGTCCTGAAACATCCAGCATGCCAGAGCATCTGAAAGGCAACAGGGACCTCTCCCACACAGGGCAGGTTACATTCAGAACTAACACTGAAATGCAGATGGAAAACACATTGCCAGCAGACAGTGTTAGCCAAGGGAGCTTTCTGGAAACAGGGAAATGGTGGGAGAGCATCAGTGCCAAGGGAGTCTGAAGTAATTGTGCATGGAAAATTTTCCGGGATCTCTTTTACGAATGACACTACAGTAGTCAGTTGACCCACAACTTATCCCAACCTCCTTTATCTGAAAGGAACACATAAATCATACTTTGTACTCCGCTGCAGCATATTTTCCTTGCTAGTGTTTCCAGGCATCAGTTGCTATCACCACCTGTGGTACCTCTGTAGAAACCTCTGAGTCCTTGAAGTCCTTGCTTAGGGCAGAGGAGGAGAGCAAGCTGAAGCTGAAGTCAGGGCAAGATACCTGAACATGAGTGCTATGCCCTGTGCAATGGCAAAGACTCATCAGACAGACAAGAGCTTTGGAGCAGTCTGGGCAACTTGATCGTTGCCATTATCTGACCACATCTGCAGCCTGCAGCTCCTAGCATGGTTGGGCTCAGACAGTGATGATCTGGTATTCACTGTCTCTTAAGAGCAGATGTGGCTGAACATCCTCCAGGCTTGTACCTTGACTTTCTAACAAGGATGGGAACCACAAGTTGATTTGTCTTAAACTTTTACATCTTGATGAGTCAGGCAGCACAAAGTTATTCTTTGAGTGCAAATTCTTCTTAAACAGCTCAGCCCGCCTCCACCTACAAGCTAGCTTAGTTTATCATGGCCACAGATAGGAGCTGCAGGTTCAGCATGGCCAGCCGATGGTCTGGGGGCTGTACTCAGCCCAACAGAACAGTGTCTAGCCCACAGCCACCATCTCTCACCTTCAGACGTGAGCAGGATGTACCATAAATGCCAGATCCTTGGGAGTGATAGGTGCACAACCTCACTGATCGGTCTCCTGGAGGAGACAGAGCCCCTCTTCGGACACATGCCCAACACGCTGGTATTTCCATGGTGTGATAGACATGTACCTGAGCACCTGATCGCACAGGAAAGAGAGGCTGTGGCCACTAGTCGTTCATCTGACTCACGGCTCTCCTCCTAGCTCTTGACTTGAGTGAATAAGCCCTCCTGAGAGACAGTTTATATTCACTTGGGCACAGAGCCATGCTAATGCAGCTCTCCAGCTTTCCAAATGGAGCTGGCTGGGAGCTGGCATGTGTCTGGCCAGCATGGAGCATTAGACAGAGGATTCTGTCCATGCAGATGTACTCTAAGTCACTCCTGAAGTGTCTGATTTCTGTGAAGACTCTACAGATATGTACACATATGTAAAGGTGCTTTCTAAAGCATGGAAGAAAGCAACTCCTACCATTTTTTTGCAATGGTCTGCCATTAGACACAATGGTAAGTAAATGTGATGGCATTCACACAGGAAACCAAATTTGCAAAGGGTAAAATCCCATTCCTGACCTGTGCACTTGTACATGCATGCACCCTAAGTATGGCTTATGACACTTACTCCTTGTCTTACAAGTTACTGCACCCCTGGTTGCAGAACAAAAATCAAGTATTTGCCCAGAGGTGGAAAACTAAGACAGTAATGAGGGAGGGTTTGTGCAGATTGCCAGGAGACCTGACTGATAGACTATGAGGCCAAGTGGGTGCCACTGTAATCATCCAATCTCATGTCCTTTAAGAGGCAGGTCTAGCAGAAGCCTGGACCAATTTCTGCTTCAAGCAGCCTATGCGTCAGTCCTGCTCGACACCCACTTGCATCTAAATGCCACAAAATCAGTTGTCATTCTTGCTCTCATATATCACGACATCTTTTGCCTTGCAAGTATAACTGGAAGGCCAAGGTCTCTTTTCTCATTCCTAGCTTTCCAAAATTCAAGCCTAAAACCTCCAGAAGGACTAAAAGATGCTTCATCGCACCCTTCTTGTGCCCTCACTACCCTTCTGAGTTCTCTCTTCACCACCTGGGAAAATTAAACAGCTTTGATGCCTTTTCTTTGTCCTCTCACTAAGCAAGGGCAGGGCCACCTGGTGATGTGCTGGATCTTCTCTTCATTCTTTCCCCATTCCAAGGAATGAAAAAATCCCACTTTCATGGGAATGAGAGCCATTTCTGCCTTCACAGAGTGTAGCTGCCTGTTTCCTCTCTAGAGCCTTTGGCCAATTATCAAATTATGAATCCGCTGGTAAAATGTTTAAAAGGCCCAAATGAGACCCAAAATCTACCACAAGCCAAATTTCTGGGTTGGTAGAGGAAACATAAAGACTGCTTTGTAGTTCTTTGGGCTACAGCTCACAGAACACAAAAGATGCTTACAGCAATAGATTTAAGGGTGAAAGTATGTAAGTATGGCACAAAAAGAACGAATGAAAGGAAATTTTATTTAAGGTTAGTATATTACAGAGAAAGACCTTTCTTATAAATTTGCCTCACATTTCTCACTGGAATTAATGGTAGATCTATAACAACTCAGAATAACACTTTACTTCCCTTTAGCTCTTACAGATTTCTGCAACACAAACTGAGCAGTCAGAAAGTTAGAGGTAAAACCTGCCTCAGTCATCCTCCAAGATAAAGTATCTTGAAGCTCTAATGGTAAAAACCAACCCTTTTTTTCTAATGTGGGCAAAAAGTATAATTTGGGATGTCTGATTTCCCATCTATATCCAGAGCAAGAAGAGGGCTTTCCCAAACAGTAAGAGACAACATCCCCTTCCCAGTCCCCCCAGTCTGTCTTTAACACAAGGGTTTCTGCTCCTCATACAAGCACATGGTATTATTGTCTCAGAAGGCCTGCTGGACATTATTTTTTATCTTCTTTGCAGACAGTTGCAATGTGGCATGAGCTGTATATCACCTCCTTCAGAAATGCCTCCTGTTTCCCTTCTTCAAGTACAGACAGATGAAACCAGTTTAGGCACCTACTTTAGTGAAGAAAATAGCTCATCGGTAGTAACTGTGCACTGTCCCTCGTGCCTACAACCATCAGTTGGGCACAGACATTGACAATGGGGTCATGTAATGAAAGCTATCCAAGGAGATGACACCGAATGAAAGCAGGATGCAGAAAAGGA